ATGGCTTACATCACCCACATCCAACATATCCCAGACACCAACTTGTTTGTTGTTACAGGGTTGAAACCAATAAGGAGACATAATGTCCCTATAACAAAAACACAGATCTTAATCAAACCTTATTTCATTCACTCATCCTTATTAGATGGTTATGACTTTGTGATATGATAGAATTAAAACAGACATAGGTTAAATTCAAGTCTTCATGTACAATAATTGTCATTTGTACTGAATAAAGGAGAGAGCATTGTTGTAAGATTCGGGTCTTTAGGGATGACAAATATACCCGTATCCGCGGATAATATATACCCGAACACGTCCCGACTTTGACGAGAAATATCCGGTTTGACCGGGTACGAGTACAGGTAAAACCTGATATATTAAATCGGGTATGAGTATGTACTTACCCGCCCCGTACCCATACTCGTAACCGTTCCCGTTTTTATTTTTAATTTAATACTCACTTTCAATTTAATTATATTAAAGAATTTTAATATTTTTTTTATATATAATTATTTATTATAATATGAGATAGAGAAATAACTTAATTATAATTATAATATAATAAAAAAATAATTTAAAAATATTATTTGTTTTACAAAAAATAAAAAATAAAAAAATTAACAGGTACGGTACGAATATACACAAATATACTCAATACCCGACGTGAACGGGAATGAGGATAAAAATTACATACCCAACAAGTACGGTACGGAAACGAGAATAGATTTAACTCGCGATAATAAAAACGGATATCATAACACTCGTACCCCAACTGCCGGTTGCCATCCCTAGTCTCAATGCAGTGGTGGTACACTTCAAAACTCTTTCCACCGTCCAACATGAAAAAGCAAGGGAAGGGACATGAAGGTTCGAGAGGATCGTGTCAATTATCACCTAATTACTTGAATTAATATCTTTTTCACTCGAAAAAATATTATTTAGTCTTTTATTTATTTATATATATATTCTCTATTACAAATAACTCTGCTCGTAAGATCACTACGTGTCAGATAAAACCACTAAATATCAGTATTTTATTAACACAGTTGAATTTGTTGCTAATTCAAACAGAACAGTATAAGTAATTAATCAACAATGAGTTAACAATAACCATACAAAATTAAGTAACGAATAAAGTGGTGGAAGGAATCACACTCTTTAAGTAATCAGTTTCTTTACACACACATTTAGTGAAAAATATTATTATTAACGTATTGACCAGTATTAAATGTGCTTTTCCCCCCTTCTTTTTTACGTAAAAGATATTTCAACCCATATATAGTTGAAAACTAATTTATTTAGATGTGTAAATATCTTTTTTTTATTTATCTCCTTTATCACTTTCATAAAATAAAAATGGGCAACAAAAAAATAATTTAATTTAAATATTTATTATCACAACATTTATGTGATTAATATTAACAATTGTAATGAGCAATGGATGAATATTTAATTTTTAAATCGATGTTTTTCCACCCTTATATGGCATGAATTCACCCAACACACTATATGATCTATTGCATGCATAACAACAATAAAAGTAGTCTTGATGTATTACATGCCCAATAATAATAAAAGTTGTGCTAAATTGTTACTAGCCCAATTAATAATAAATTGATAAAAAGAAATGTTTCTAAATTATTATAAGCCCACACAACTCTTTGTCTTCAATAGGTTCATTCAACACTATCCACACTTCTATTTATATGAATTTTAGCGGCTGTTTTTCATAACTTATTCAACTCTGCTTTTTCTAGGCATCAAACCAGATCAAACTACCACCATTCTTATTTAGCTTTCTATAACATCTTTAGACTTCATCCTCTACTCTAATGTCCACCTCAAGTAAAGAAAAAAGGCAATACATCTCCATCTTTCACAACCACATACAATCCCAAGTTGCATTCATTTTAAGTTTGGGCCAAGTAATATAGTCAAGGAAAATAGTCAATTAATCTATACTTTTGGGCAAAGTTATGTGGTGTTTATTTCACAACGTATTACATATTTTATGCATTATAATAAAATTTTTTCTAAAATTACATGTGTTTTATGGAAAGAAATTATGTATAATTTTATATATATATATATATATAGTACGATGAGATTAACTTTTCAATAATTTTTTTTCAAAAAAAGAAAAATTGAACCTTAAGCATTAATTAAAGAAAATCATGTGTACTACTTGAACAGTTTAACCGATCATTAGCCATTATAATATTGACATTTGAAAGCTGAGATAAAATATATTAAACAAATATTTTTTAAAAAAAAATATTAAGATGATAAAAGAAAGTATGTATAATTAATTTAAATGAATTTAAAAATATTTAAAAAATTTAAATTATAAAAATATTTTTCAAATAAATTTTTTCGTCGAAGTGAAGAAATACTCGACATCATTATTTACAAAGAGTATATTAACAAACTCAACTTATCAAGAAAATAAACTAAACTTCCATTTGATATAGTATAAAGTATAAAGGTAAAATATATAAAAATAAAGCAAGAAAAAAAAATGCATAGTGGATTGGAAAAGTTAAGAGAGTGTCATCTTCGGTTTTCCACACAATTAGATAGAAAGAGAAGAAAAAAAGCCGATTGAGAGCGAAGTTATCTGATAAAATTGTAGTGGATGATTTGGTTTGAATCAATTATTGTGAAGCAAAAGTGGAACGACATACTGTAACCCATACACACAATCGAAAGGATAGAAATTGGATGGTATGGCACCACACAAGAGTGCCACTTGAGGGACCCGCGGATTCGACCCACTCAATTATTTTTTTAAAAAATCACATTTATATAATTTATCATGAACTAAAAACTATAAAATAAAATAAATGATGTAACAGAAGAAAATTATCACAAGGACATCATTGATACGAAAGTTATTCTAAATTAATTAGTAATATTAAGATTGAGTTTTTAATATACGGTGTAATACTAGAAAGGAAAACTTTATTCACAATGATACTACCTCCTCAGGAATGATTATCTCTATAATAAAAAATATATATTTGTCGTCTCTTAAAAAAGAAATTAAAAAAATATTGTTACTTTTACTAGTGTATAAAAGGTACTCTATATTTCTGTGAATTATTTTTTATAAATAATAAATAATAAAAATATATAAAAGTGAGTAACTATTAAAAATACAAACGATTACTTATGAAAAGTAAAATCGTAAATGAGTTATAAATGATTATAAAAAAAGAAAGTAATATAAAAATATATACATGAAAAATACCAATAGCATTATTAATTTATTATTATTGTTATAGATTCAAATTAATCTGCACCGCTTTCCAAAATTACATAAACTGATAAAAGTTACCAATGAAACTAATTTGCACTGCAATTTTTTTCATACGGAAGATAGTTCATTGTTACGTCTTTTATTGCACTAAACTAAACTTGAAAATACTTTATATACTTTCAAAGTATAAAACCAAAGTATAAAACCAATTTAAGGCTTAAATATGTTTTTAGTCTAATCTGTTTTTGGTTCCTCAAATTTAAAATTGTTATTTTTAATCCCTGTAATTTCAAAAAAAATTATTTTAATCCTTATATTCAAATTTTGTTAAGAAATTTATTAAACATTATTGCATAAAATTTACCTATTTGTGTCCCTATTAGTGAAAATATCACATTAAATCCGGTTAATATTGCATAACTATCTTAATTAGTCACTTTCAAATATATTATTAGTGACTTAAGAGACTAAAACAAGATTTTTGAAAATTACAATGACTAAAAATAACAATTTTAAATTTGAAGGACCAAAAACAAATTTATCTTAAACTTGAGGGAGTAAAAACATATTTAACCCCCAATTTAATTAGTAAAACAAGTTACGAAAATTAAATGGTTGACAAAATTTACTTTTTTAATTAATCATTTCAGTATAAAATATAAACCACTTGGCTTTTATGAACGTAGTCCGGTAAAATTTTCTGAAGATGTGTACAGTACAATACAGTTGTTTGTCTAAATAACCTGATAAAATATGGATTTAGGATTTTAAATTAATATATATATATATATATATATATATATTTTTTTTTTAGT